AAAAGCCGGAAGTGGCACTGTGGCTCAAGTGGTAGAGTGCTAGCCTTGAGCTGAAGAGCTGAGGGACAGCGTCCAGGCCCAGAGTTCAGGCCCCACGACCAGACCCAAAAAAAAGAGAATATGGTTATGTTCTATGTGAAGGAACCTATGAGGATTAGAAAATTCCTTGGAGGGTGGGGCGTGAAGAGTAGAAAAGTCCTAAAGCCAGCCACCCATCTTGGACACCTATATAATAACCAGCGCAGGCTGAGCATCGCACGTGGGCTTTTCATATACCCTTGGCCTCTACCAGCATCACAGGTGAGAGTGCTTGCGCACAGAGGCAGTAATCCAGATGGAGTAGGCTATGTTTGAGCCAGAGCATCCCAGATGTTAGTCCCTGGCTAACTCTACAGATATCAGATAGGGTCATCCTGTCCAAACACAGACCCTGAGATTTCAAGGGGCACCCCTCTGGACTCTGACTCCCTGAATTCTAATCTAGGCTCTGCCACTTCCAGGTTGTGGCCTTGGAGTCCTTCCTGCTTTCTGGGCCACATATGCATTAGGGTGGGCTTGTGAAGCAGCAGCCTGGTGCCCAGCATACATCCTTCTTGCAGAAATTTAGGGGCTGTCCCTGTGATAACTCAGGGTGTTACCTTCAGTCACACCACCATTCCCTGGCCCTGTTTCTCACCCTTAAACCTTGTTCGTGTCCATGTGGTGAGGGCTTCAGCCCCAAGGAAAGCGGGCTTCCTCAGTCCACTCTGATTTCTCTTTGGTCCAGCTGTCTTCTTGGGATTAAATCTTGCCACCCACCCAAGTGGTAGGCAAGTGCTCAGCCTCTTGAGCCACACTTTTGTCTTAGTTTTGGGGATGTGTGTGCATGCACATGTCTGTACTTGGGCTTGAACTCAAGGCCTAGGCAACTGTCTCTTAGCTCTTTCCTCAAGTTTGGTGCTCCAGCACTTGAGCCACAGCTCCACTTCTGGCTTTTTGGTGGTTAATTGGAGATAAGAGTCTCACAGGTTTTCCTAATCAGGCTAGCTTTGAACTACTAGGTCTCTGTTTCCTGAGTAGCTAAGATTACAGGCATGAGCCACTGGTGTCCAGCTGTGTTTTGGTTTTTGTTTTGTTTTTGAGATAAAGGTCTTATTAGCTAGCTGGACTTATTATAACTAGCTGGACTTGAAGATGCTATCCTGCCTCTGCTTCTCAAGTCTGCTACCACTCCTAGTTCCTGTCTTTTTTTTTTTTTTTTGGCAGTCGTGGGGCCTGTCCTCTGGACCTGTGCGCTGTCCTTAAGCTCTTTAGCTCGAGGCTAGCACCCTATCACTTGAGCTATAGCACCACTTCTGGCTTTTCCTGCTATGTAATGCTGAGGAATTGAACCCAGGCCTCATGCATGCAAGGCAAGCACTCTACCACAGAGCTACTTCCCAGCCCCTCTTTCTGTTTTTTTCTTTTGCAGTCTTAGGGCTTGAACTCAGGATTTGGGCATTGCCCCGACGCTTCTTTTACTCAAGGCTAGCACTCTACCACTTGATGAGCCACAGCACCACTTCTGGTTTTTCTGTGTTTGTGATACTGAGGAATCA